GTTTGCCACACCCGCAGAGGTGCCGCCCCCCCGCGGGCGCGGTTGCCCCGTCGGGCCCCGAGCGCCGCTCCCGCACCGCTTCAGACCTCGAACCGCCGCCGCCGCCCGGGAGAGCGCCCCCGAACCCTCCCCCGGCGCACGCCCGAGCGGCCGCGGCCACCCTGAGCCGGCGACTGGGAGCTGTTACAGCTGAAGCTGAACTTCCCGCCCAGCTCGGGAAAAATAAATACAACTACGTAAAGAAGCAGGAAAAGAAAAATTGAGTCTTAGAAACCCACACAAAAAGACGACTGAGCGGCAGAGGGTATGGGGAAGGTCCTGGCTTCTATGAAAACAACTTTTATGGCATTTTCCATTCCCCTGTATTGCTTTTACTGGGCACGAGGAGGTTTATTCCTTTTGAGAACTGGAAAATAATTAATTTAGCGCGTTGGACATTGTGAAAGGGAAGACTTGGGGAAGAACTGATCTTCTGTTCAGGGGAGAAGAAAAGCAATAGAAATGTGTCAAATGGGCCACAATGTTTTAAAGAAAAGTGGGTGTGGGGAGGGGGGCAGGCGGCTGCTCCGCCAAGGCTCACTCTTAACAGGACAAAAAGTAACAGGCTTAAATACCAGCACAGGACGGGGTGATTTAGACATCAGGAACACCTCAAATAGCAAGAATGTTCCAGTTTTAAAGTTCCTGTGTGATATCTCACACTTTTGTAGTGCTTAATATGAAGACTACAGGCGATAGGCAATGCCCTTTTCCCCCTTTGAATCTCTTCGCCCCTATTTTCCTCTTGATCAGTCTCAGCTGAACACACGAAGACGCAGTATGTGAAATTGGGTTAAACGAACCTGTGCACGTGCGCAGCAACACGGGACCCTGGGGCGCTGCCAGCACCCACCCGCGGCTTTGCTGCTCTTCGGCTGACGTTCCCCGTGCCCCGGAGATGGCCACGGCGAGAGGGAAACTCAACGATCAGTGCGTTCAACAACAACAACAAAAAAAAAGGTACCACTGTGCTGAAGTGGTTTTCCTGTCGTTTGCCCCCATGGCGACGCCTGAACAGAGCCCTCGCAGAGGCGGTGCCCCGCGGAGCAGAGCCAACGCCACCGCGCTCTCCACCCGCCGCCCACGCGGGGACACCACCGCGCACCGCTCCGCACCGCTCCGCACCGCTCCGCACCGCTCCGCACCGCGCGGAGGGGAGATCCCACAGAAAACACTCAGAGGTGACACCTTGTGGGGGATGGAAAAAATGCAGCTCAGTAACAGGCAGTATCTCACTTTTAATAGAGTAAATGTACAGTAACTTGGAATTACAGGATCACTTTCCCAAGAAATTACTAGCAAAAATAGCCACAGAAAGTTCAAATAAATAAGAACCCGCGATGACCAACACCAAAGCTGGGCTGCAAATCCTCAGCTGAGTTCCAGTCTTTCCAGAGTCGTCCGTTTCATTCTTTTTCAGAAGAAAACCCACTGATGCCAACGGGAGCAACAAAGGCTCAATGCCTTTAAAATAAGGTAAAAAATAGTACATTACAGTCAATTTCATACCATAGAAATTTCAACCATAATATCAGCTCCAAAAAGGTATCACATACTGATTGAAAAAAACCTGTCAAAATACTCTCAAACTTCTAACAGGATCCTTTAAACAGCAAATACAAGATAAAAGTTATCTCAAACAACAGTAAATGAAACCCAGAAAGCAATAATGGGCTTATGGCGTCACGGAGTGGTCTGGGGGCAAACGCGGCAGTTTAGGCCGATGAAATAAGCACAACCATCCCGTGCAGCATCGCGCCCCTCCACCGCCCCCCCAGGCTAGGGCCACAGGCGGGTGGCAGCATCCTGGGGGACAGCGGGGGGGCGAGAGCTCCCTGCTTCAGGTGACCCGTTGGCTCTAAACGCAGCTTTCTCAGAACAAACACTGCTGAGCGATTTTGCCTCTGCACTATCCCTCCCCACCCTGAATTCGTACCACCAAACGTAATCTCTCATTTGGAAAGAACAACAGTGCAGCTAATCAGCCTTAATGAGCTGCCGCCCCGCGATGCAGGACAGGGAACCAGCAGTAGGGACTGATCCGAGTGTTCCTCGCGCGGCTCTTCCCCCTGAGGAGGACACACATCGCATCACTCACACAACCGTAACCCCTCCGGAGCAGGAGCTCCCCGGGAGTACCCACAGGAGGCCGAGACCCACTGCCGGGACGGGGACCTGCAGCATCGCCCAGAAGCTTCAGAACTGCTGTTTGGGACTGAAAGCGACCCCGCGGTGTGGGGGGTGTGGGGCATGTAAAGCTCTGCCTGACCACAGGATTTCACTGCAGAGGTGCAAGTAATGGAGAAAAAAGAAACGCGTCAAGAGAAAAACAACATTGTTTTAAAATCATTCATGTGATACATTAAAAATACAGTATAGCATTACTAAGGAAAGCAGTTTATACTTACTGGAGTAAAATTCTGTTTCTTCACATCTTTTTAACAGGGTAACATCATTGAAAATAACAGAGTTGTTCCAAGTTCCTACCAGTACAACTGAAGTAGGATCTGGCTATTTATTTTAATGCAACCTGAGTGGTTTTGTTTTGCAGGTAGTACTGCAGAACATTAAACCTTTAAATTATCTAGAAAAAAAATTAATCAGTTTAAATACCTCACATCACAGTGAACACGTTCTTCAAGAAGCATCCTCACTGCTAGGCTTAGACACACCAGAACATGCGATCATATTGCTAAACATAGTGGAAAAAGCCATGAATAGCCACACAAAGACTGTGCTGTGGAAATATTTTAATTCCAGACAGAATGTATTTGATGGGATAAACTTTTCTGCTATATTCAGAAGTGCTTCTAAAGACAATGCACAATGGTGCTTATAACAGTGCACGACAGCAGCGTGCTAAAATCGTGCACTCAAGTAGCGCTCAGTGGCAAGAGCAGTCCTATTAACTTTCACTACTGTTAACGCGAATCGGGAAAACGGGACTAACGAAGGCTTGTAGAATTTGGCCACAGGTTGAAATCCTAGCACAAGAACCTTTCATCTGAAAAAAGCTGAAACACATGACGAGTGTGGAACAAAACCAAAGCATGAAATAGCAACAACGGAACGTGCGGGTCCTCTGCAGCTGCTGGTGTTGAATACCGTCTTCAGTTTCACCACACCTCTGACACAGCCAATCTATTTGATCTTTGAGCATGTCAGCTTAAGTTTCACTTTAATTGCATAGAGCGGAATGTACACGCAACTACAATGCATTTTAACCGTAACCTCACAAATACTGAATATGGAAATGTAATACTGTACATTACATGTGTTTCCTTAATCACTTTAAAATTTCACATTTGGTTTCCAGTCGACTGGGAAAAAATCACTAGAAATATTTCTTAGACTATTCCTGAGCAATGTTTTAATGTACTGGAAAATACTCTAGTTTATTACTACATTTAATAATATTCTCATGTTTCAAACTACATATAAATCCATGCTTTGAAATGTTACAAAGCTGAAGATGTGGTAGGCACGATGAAAGAACAGAAACAGCTAAGCAGCTTAAATCCAAGATGAGATCAACAAGAGAAGTGCAATTTAACTATATACATAATGTATTCTTTAGTATTTGCTACTTTTTTATTTTCAATCCCAATGTGAAGGATCCACCTGTAAAATCTGGTCCGTCAGCCCTCAGCTCACCTCTCAGAGACAGTTCACTGGGACTGGTGGCTGTGGATGAAGTTAATGCTGCTCAGTGTCTCATTGTGAACTGAAGGTACAAATCTCTCCAATCTCATCTTTGACAAGATCGTGTCCCCAGCTGCTGTGATTGATTTGAAACAGTAAGAGATGAACTGACACTGGAATACCCACTGACCCACCTTCATGTTCTCTTGTACCTCACAGGCACA